GGAGAAGCAGAGGGAGAGGGAGAAGCAGACTTCCCCATGCAGGGATCCTAACACAGGGCCACGGGGCTCCATCCAGGGACTCCAGAATCATGACCTGAACGGAAGGCAGATGCTTAACTGACTGAGCCACACAGGCGCCCCTAAAATTACTTGTTTTTTTAAAAGTTATCTAGAACTCATCCATGCAACCATCCTATCTTTTTCAATGATTAATTTGAAATTACCTTTCAAATTTGTTTTCTGGAAGTTGGTCTACTCAAGCTTTCTACTTTGAGAGCATTTGAACATCTTTTTTTGAAGAAACTTTTGCAATGTCATTCCATACAAAAGCAATAGAAACATAACAGTCTTAACAAGTTTACAGTAGAATATTTGAACAAAAATCTGTATACATTGTCCTTTACAGCAATTTTACACAGTAAATTAACTGATTGTTTAAAAATGTTCCTTTTAAACACCTGTGCTACCTTACTTCTTGGAGTATTATAGGTAGAGAACCTATGTAGTGCTATTTACAAGTACAAAATTAAGACTGTATAACTTACATGGAATCCATTAATTTAAGAGCTCGATTTAATATCCTTGACTGTTCAGTGCTCTGTATGAGGAAAAAATCAACCTTGACCTACTGACAAAGAGCCAAAACTTCATTTTCCATAAAAATATAAAGGTATCCAATTCTGAGAATATTTAGTTGGGCACCAGTAAAGAAATCTAATGCTGTCGATGCTAGATTTGAAGGATTAATTAAGTTAAAATATATATTTTTAAGGATTTTATTTATTTTATTTTGACAGAGAGAGACACAGGGAGAGAGGGAACACAAGCAGGGGGAGTGGGAGAGGGAGAAGCAGGCTTCCCGCGGAGCAGAGAGCCCGATGTGGGGCTGGATCCCAGGACCCCGGGATCATGACCTGAGCCGAAGGCAGACGCTCAACGACTGAGCCACCCAGGCGTCCCAAGTTAAAATATTTTTGACTGAAAATTTATTCATTTCCTTTAGGCTTTAAATTTTGTTGTCATAGCGTTTCACATAGTATTTTCCCAGTGTTTGTTAATTGTGAGTTCTATTGTGCTTTCCATTATGTCAATAATTATATTTCCTTTTGCAGGTCTCATAATGCACATATTTATTTACTATTGTGTGAAAAAGAAAAGCATGGGTCCTAGGATTGGGGTGTGTAGAGCTCCCTGCTCAGCAGGGAGTCAGCTTCTCCTTCTTCCTCAACCACTCCCCACCCCCCAGCTTGTGCGTGCCCACTCTCTCAAATAACTAAATAAAATCTTTTTTAAAAAAACATCATTTAGGGCGCCTGGGTGGCTCACTCTGACCCTCCCCCCTCTCGTGTGCTCTCTCTCTCTCTCTCACTCTCTCAAATAAATGAATAAATAAAATCTTTAAAAAAAAAACATCATTTGGGTGCATAGTTGAGTAAGTTTTAGAGGATAATAAAGCACTTTACACAAATGAGAACATCTGCAGTCACCCCAGGAGTGTAAAAATTACAGGGCTCTGAATCCTCATGCTTCCGGGCACTGGCTGATCACCAGCTGGAAGAAGGAAGATATTCCCTACCGTATTTCTATGATACCATCAGTTACATTCAGATTTTTATTTCCCTTTAAACCCAACTCATTGGAGGACTTTAATGTACATTATGACCACATAGTGCAGCATGAGGAGGAAATCTTCAAAAGTTTACAAAAAACTTTTTAGAGAAATGAATTCAAGAAAAACCATAAACTCTCAGGGAAGGTAAACAGAATAACAGAAATTAACAAAGATCATTTTGAGTATTTCTTTTTTTTTTTTTTTTAAAGATTTTATTTATTTGACAGAGAGAGAGACAGTGAGAGAGGGAACAAAGCAGGGGGAGTGGGAAAGGGAGAAGCAGGCTTCCTGCTGAGCAGGGAACCCGATGCAGGGCTCGATCCCAGGACCCTGAGATCACGACCCGAGCCGAAGGCAGTCACCCAACCAACTGAGCCACCCAGGCGCCCCTTGAGTATTTCTTATACACAGAGCTTGACAGAGAGAAAACTCGGCATTTGTCAAATGAATGAGTGAATGAATGAATGAATGAACGAACGAACAAGGAAGCAAAATTACATGTGCTTGGATTCAAATCCCAGCCTCACCAGTATTTGACCTTGAGTACTTTATTTATCTACTCATCTTTAAAATGAGGATAATTATGCCCACGTCTTTTTGGAAGGCAGCTATGCTAACCACTATACCACCAAGGCTGCCCACCTCTTTTTGTTATCACAGGGATTGAACTGGGTAATCCATGTAAATAAATAAACCCACTGCCTAAAACAGAATGAACACTTAACAAATCACAGTCATTTTAAGAGCTCTCTTGGGACTGATTTAGCTAATTCCTGGCCAAATAGATCTAACAATTAAATCACCTCAATATATTTCATAATAGGTCATTCTTCATGTATTGGTTATATTATAAATCTGTATTCTGTTGAGTCTCTGTGAAACCAACAGTGTATTACACAGCAGACATTCCCTAAGATTATTCTTTATTTTTAACTTAGGATATGTTTTCTGCTAATAAGCAGCCCTCTCAGATGGTGTCTTTTTCTGTTTGGGCTGCTAAGACAAAATATCACAGACTGGGTAGCTTATAAACAATAGAAATTTATTTCTCCCATTCTAGACGCTGAGGATTACAAGATCAGGGTGTCCACAGGTTTGCCATGTGGTGAGGGTCTGCTTCGTCATTGACTGTGGCTTCTCATGGTAACCTCACAGGGTGGAAGGGGGCAAAGGAGGCTTCTTGGGCCACTCTTATAAATGCATTGACCCCGTTCATGAAGGCTCTGCCCTCATGGCCCAATCACCTCCCAAAGGCCCCACCTCCTAATACCTTGAGGGTTAGGATTTCAAGATATGAATTTTGGGGAGACACATTGAATCTATAGCAGATGGTATACTATGATAAACAAAGTCAAACTCATAAAGAGAATATTTGCTGCTCACTTTGAAATGTCCATAGCCCTGGCCCAAGGCTACTGTGACTTTCAGCCAAATGCATACAAAAATCCTGGAAAGGATTTTTATGTATTTTTATATATTAAATTATGCGTGGTACTGACAATTTTTTCTAACAGTTTCTCAACAACTAACTATTTGGTATTAGCGAATTCTCTTGGGACCCATAAATTGGATACATCCTGCAGATACAGATAATGTTCCAAGTCCACATGAAGAAATTATATGGCTGTAAACAGAATACATATGCCTTTGGATGCTCTGGACTTAGCTAGTTAAAAACCAGATTAAAAAGAAATCATATAGCATTTGTGGTTAGCATAACTTTAAGTAACAATGAGAACCGCCCCCCCAACAATAATCAAGTGCTGTTTTCATTGCAACTGAGGAAGGTTTTGGAAAGATAATCTAGTTTATTGGACTATTTCTCCAAGGGCAAGCATTATGGGTCATTTTTTACTGGGCAATAAAATGCTTTTAAATTGTAAATGTTGCTGCATATAATCAAGTTATCTCTTTTTTGGAAGATGAAAAATGGAAGATTTCTTAGACCTTGGAAAGAGTTTTTGCCATTTATTTATGAATCACTCAGCAAAAGGCAGTCATGTACTATTTCAAATAAGCTGCTATCTCAGAATGTCACTGTCACTTGACTCAAAGATTTTTCTTTCTTTTTTGGGGGGGGGCGGGGAGGAGTTCCTCCTCCTCCTACATCATCAAGTCAACAATTCTGTGGGCAAGGGACAGGACAAGATATTTTCATCAATATTTGGAGACAGAGAAGAAGGGTGCTTAATATATGAGGACTAACACTAGATCTCGCCCCCATCCCCCTACCTGCACCCCTCCACCAGCACCATCACCCCACGCACTTCACTGGAGGAAACAACAACAAAAAAACACCATTCTGAAGCTGTGGTAAATGCTCAGGCCACGTGACACTGAATAATGCTGTTTGGATTCAAACACTGAGACTCCGCAGTGACACAGTGATTCATCTGCAGCTAGTTTACTAAACTGTGGGCACTGAGAAATAGGCAACCCGTATTGAGCCAAAGGTACTGCTGGCCTCGCGAAAGCTCAGCCAGGTGCTGAGAGTAGGGTGACAGCACAGCTTTGGGAGGAAGGGAGAGTGAAGAGGGGAGAGAGGCACGTTCACACCATAAGGTTCACACCGCGCCATGAGAAAGCCTCTGGGCCGAGCCTGAATTTAAAGCGGGAAATTAAGGGGCAGAGATTTTAACTAATATACTGAACCTTTACATCGGTCACCTAGCTTCAATCTACAGCAACACTAAGAAATTGGTATTATTAATCCCCTCTTAGACCCGAGGGACTGAGGGTGAAAGAAGCAAAGAGGCTCTTTCTGGGACTTAATGCCCGGCGCGCCAGACTCCCAGGAGTGGGGAGCGGCCGGGGCGGGCTGCTCCGCTTTCCTGGAGGGGAAAGAAGCCCGGCTGCGGCACATAAACCGAGGCCTGGGTGAGGCGCCAGCCCAAGCTGCCAGCAGCGGAAGGAGAAGGGGGGTCTCGCAGGCGCGCGGCCCTCGCCCGTGGTAGGTCGGTGCGGAGACCAGAGCTGGAAGCCAAACGCAGACAGTTGGCGAGAAGCACCAGCCCCCTCCGCCGGCCTACTCGCTGCGGGGAGGGGTTTCTCACGCCCCCCGCTCCTGGGTGACTGCACCGGAGGTCGGAAGGAAGCGGGGCGAGGGATGAGTCATCCCGCCTAATTCCTCCTTCCCGGTCCCTCGCCTCCGCACGCCGGCCCCCTCCCGAGATCGAGCAGCCGGGAGCGAAGACTTGCTTATCCTCAGAGTCCGCTACCAAACCCGCTGTGGCCTGCAGAAGAGAGGAGAAGGACGGGGCGTGTGGCCAATGAGAGCTTCGCCCTCTCGCCGCCGGCCAATGGGCCGCTGTTTACAGGGTAGGGCGGGACTCGAAGGGGGGCGGTCCCGGGCTGGCGCGCGGCGTCGCGCTCCCGTGGCTCACAGAGAGAGTGGCTCGGAGACAGCGCGCCTCACAGGGAGTCGGCGCCTAAGCGACGCGGGAAGGCGCCACCGCCGCCGCCGCTGGCCAAGGTGCTGGAGACGACAGGACGGTCGACCGCTTCGCCAGCTCAGGCACCCGTTGCAGCTGCCGCGGCTTCGCTCCCAGCCCGGTCCTCATGGAAGAGATGGAAGAAGAGTTAAAATGCCCTGTGTGCGGCTCCTTCTATCGGGAGCCCATCATCCTGCCCTGCTCTCACAATTTATGTCAAGCGTGCGCCCGCAACATCCTGGTACAGACCCCGGAGTCTGAATCCCCCCAGAGCCGTCGGGCCTCGGGCTCCGGGGTCTCCGACTATGACTATCTGGACCTGGACAAGATGAGCCTGTACAGCGAAGCGGACAGCGGCTATGGTTCCTACGGGGGTTTCGCCAGTGCCCCCACTACCCCGTGCCAGAAGTCCCCCAATGGCGTCCGCGTGTTCCCCCCCGCTATGCCGCCACCGGCCACCCACCTGTCACCGGCCTTGGCCCCGGTGCCCCGCAACTCCTGTATCACCTGCCCCCAGTGCCACCGCAGCCTCATACTGGATGACCGGGGGCTCCGCGGCTTCCCCAAGAACCGCGTCCTGGAAGGGGTAATTGACCGCTACCAGCAGAGCAAAGCCGCAGCCCTCAAGTGCCAGCTCTGCGAGAAGGCGCCTAAGGAGGCCACCGTCATGTGCGAACAGTGCGATGTCTTCTACTGCGATCCGTGCCGCCTGCGCTGCCACCCGCCCCGAGGGCCCCTAGCCAAGCACCGCCTGGTACCCCCGGCCCAGGGCCGCGTGAGCCGGCGACTGAGCCCGCGCAAGGTCTCCACCTGCACAGACCACGAGCTGGAGAACCACAGCATGTATTGCGTGCAGTGCAAGATGCCTGTGTGCTACCAGTGCTTGGAGGAGGGCAAACACTCCAGCCATGAAGTCAAAGCTCTGGGGGCCATGTGGAAACTGCACAAGGTGAGTCCTAAGAAAATCCACCCCTAACTCCCCTCGCCTCCGATCCTCCGGTTTTGCAGCAGACGGTCTCCCTATTGCGCACAGTGCATCCCAGTGGGGGTGCAATGCAGGTTCTCCTGTATCTGCTTCCCCCGTCTGGTGCACTGCAGAAGCGCAGGGGGACCTTAAACCGAGGGCAGGGGAGTTAAATATCCCCAGAGAGTTGTTGCGGGGATGCCTGAGAACCGGTCTCCCCGGGAGCACTGCCTAGCACGGGGCGTCCCCGCTCCGCGGCGGAGGCGCAGCCTGTGGTCGCCGCCGGGGTAGTGGAAAGCGCTGCGGAGCTGGGCAGAGGCACGCCAGCGCCTGGGGCTGCCAGGAACGCTCCAGGGCAGATCCGGCTGCGGTCCCCAGGGACGAAGTGGGGGCGGTGGGGCGGCGCGAAACGCCAAAGGCTGGAGCTGCGGGGTAGGCGGGCGCTGTGACTCGCGGCGGGGGCGGGGAGAACTCCGCGGGTGGAATACTGATGAGTCCGTCCTGGCCCAGACCCGGAGTCCGCGCTGGAGCAGATGCGGGACCGGGTGCTTTGCTCCCAGGTGGCGGAGGTGGTGCAGCCGAGGAAAAAAGAATCCTGTGGTCGCCACGGCAACAAGGCTTGATGGCTACGGGTCCTGACCACCCCCCCCACGCCCCCCCCCCGGGGCTAGGGACCTGGGGCTGAAGTAGCAGGCCAGAGGTTTCTGTGTGGTCTAGGCCTGAAAGCTAGGCAGATGTGTATCCCAGGGTAACCCCATCCTCCCAACCACCACACACGAATTTGTCCAGGATTCAACCCTTTTCCTCTTTCAGTAGTTGTCTTTGAAAGCTTTGAGGCACCTGTTACCACCAGATTTACCTTTCTGATCTCTTTTGATGGCGCCTCCACCAAAGCCAGCTTCAAGAAGAGTGCCTTTAACAACGTTTAGGTAAGCCACTCCTCTGCTCAGAATCCTCCAATTGTCCCCCACATTTCTTAGACGGTCCCTAGAATGGTCCACTAGGACCTGCTTGACCTGTTCATGTTTGGCCTCATCGACCTCATTTCGTCCCACTCATTCCCTTTGCTCCAGCTGCACTGTCCCTCAACCAACATCAGACACCTTCCGGCCCCCGGGCCTTTGCATTGGATGTTCTTTACGCTTGGGACAGTCTAACCCAATAAATACCTTGTATTCGAATGGCTCACTCTCTTGCCTCCTTAGATTGTTGCTCAGATGTCACCTTTGCAGTGAGACCCTTCTGAACACAGTTGCTGCCTCTAGTCTCAGACACCCCTAAGTGGCATGCTATGTATTTTAATTATCATGTTACTTTTGTATTTATCTATTGCTCCTCTCCACACATACTAGAAAATAAACTTCATGAGGAAAAAGATCTTTATAAGTTATGCCCACCCTGCTTAGAAGGAAGGGAACCACTCTTGAGGAGATGTGTATAAATTTCACTTGTAATTTTTAAATAATTTGCTTGGTTGGGATGCAAAGGGTAAGGCAGCGATTCAGGATTATTGTGGAGATTTTCTTCACATCGAGTTGCAAGCCCAAGGATCAGGTAGGGCAGTAAAGACGGTGTTCAGGCCTCAGCTATGCCCCACTAAGGGTTTCCCAGCATTTCTTGGAGACTAGAAAGGCTAGTCTCTGAGAGAGACCATGGGGTTCAGGCTGGAACAGTGATATTTTATTTACAGCAAGAAAAGAAATAAGATATCACCTTTTTTCAGCAATCGAGGTTTTCTCAATTCAGTCTTAATTGAATGTGACCCGTATTTATGGTTATTTGGGTTCTCACATATAACCTATTAAATCTTATTCATACTGATGGAAATTTAAGTCAGCACAAATTTGAGCCCTACTAGGCATATGCATCTATTTTTGAAGCAATTTCAATTTAACTTTTTTTAAATGATATTTTATTTTGAAAGTTTTCAAAACTTGAGTTCATGGCCAATTTTTTCCTTCATGTTATGATTTCACTCTTAAACTGCTAACTATAGCCTATGTTAAGTTACCTTTCAAAACTATCCTTGGAACTAAGAAATTAATCTCCTTGACTGAAAAAAGAACTTAAGAGTCACACATTAATTAGGATGGTCAAACCACAGCATAATTTTTCTGTGAAGAGTCTATACGTTTTCCATTAAAACCAAAAGCAACCTTTTAATCTTTGTCAAGCCCTGTATAGATTTGAAATGTTAAATCGTTGATTTTATGGGTAATGGAAATTGTGAGTGGACACTGGTGTGGACTGGGTTGAAATTTGGATGTCTGTTAAAAAACCAATAATGTCAAAGCCCTTGAGACATGACATAAGTAAGCTAGAAAAGGAAGGGTGGTTTGTTGAAAAAAAAAAAAAACATTTCTTCTCTGATCTTTTGCACACTTTTTCCAAAATAGTGAATAGGTATAATTTTTGTTCAGTCAATATCAGAATTATTAAACTGCCAAAAAAAAAATAAGGCAGAAAGATGAGAGATTTTAACATTTGCTTACTGTCTTAGGTGAACAACAAATATTCTCCCCCATCTTATCTTCTTAATAAAGTAGTTAATGGGTTAACGCTGGATTTTCTCATATAGTCTATTTATGTTCTGTTTCCACAACAGCTCATGGGCCAGAATTTCTATGCCCTTCAAAACATAAGAGAGCAAAGAATTACATTAAGTAGTTTCCCCAAAGTTGGGCAGTAAGTTATCAACACACATTATTACTAGACCTGAAAGTTTTCATTAATGTTCTACCATATTAATTAGTCATTTCTAGGGATAAAAAATTCTGTGAATAAGTATTTCCCTCGAGCTCTAAGTCATCATCTTACACATTTAAGACAAAATGGCTGAAATTTATTTTTAAAGAGGTTTTTAAAACAACTGGTTGAAATTCACTAGTTGTCAGTTGACCAAATTAAAATATTTCTTACACATATATGACTTTCAAAATCCATGAAAAGTAATACTGCATCAAGTAGCCATATAAGACAAATACCTGGTAACAGTTTTCATTTAGTAGGAGCACTTGCTATATTCCTTTATCCAATTTAGTTTGGTATAAAGAATTGCTACAAAAAAAATCATTTTGTAGATACTTTCAAATAGGCAATTGGAACCATTATTACTATTCTGTAATTTTAGCAATTCACACTTCTAAATCTAACATTATCCTTAAATTCCTGGTGTGTTTTATCAATCTCTGAATCAGTACATTTGAAACCATTCTGTTGTATTTGTGCTATTGAGCAAAGATTTTCTTTTCCTTTCTGTATTAACCACTCTGAATCTTGTCTCAAATGTTATTTTTCTCTTAGAAGATTTGCAATTTAAGGAACATTTTATTTTTTAAAGATTTTATTTATTTATTTTAGAGAAAGAGCTAGGATGTGGGAGTGGGGGTGGGAAGCAGCGGGGGAGGGAGAGGGACAAGCAGACTCCCACCCTGAATGCAGCACCCCTGGCAGGACCCAGTGCCACGACCCTGAGATCATGACCTGAGCCTAAACCAAGAGTCAGATGCTCAACCAACTGAGCCACCCAGGTGCCCCAGCGACATTTTAAAATAAACTTTATCAGTTATGCTTTCATTTTCAAAGTATTCTGAAAAAAAATATCTGCTTTGTAATATGTTGGTATCTTATCAAATATCTGTGTAGCAAAGTGTTATTTAATGTAACCAAAATGGTATTTGGTTAACTATCAACAGTAAACACAATATAATCTAGATGTTCCTATGATAAATATAACAGGTAGCTGATCTTCATGGGTTTTTTTTATATTTTTTAAATTTACATCTGGTACAGTCAGAACATTCTGTGCACGGTGGTACAAATATTAAGGAGAATGTATCAGAGGAGTCAGTTGTTCCTCTTTGTACTGAGGCATAATAGAAAGAGCTAGATGACAGGGGATCCCATTCCAGACCTGATGCTGCCACTGACTTCCATTCTTCCTACACACAAATCTATATTTATGGAAATATTTTGAAAAAATAATTTAAATGTGTGTAACATACTCATTTCAGTTTGGCACAAGAGAAAGCTTTATATAAAACAGAAGTTGTCTCACTAGTCAACAATTATTTCATAGAACCTCTTTTATGGGATATTTTGCTTGCTCCTTTCAGAGCACAGAGTGCAGTAAAAGGCTACTCTTGAAGGTGCCCCAGAAGGGTGAGCCACAGCCTCATGAATCCAGAGAATATTCAGTTGAAGTAAGCTCATGGAATAAAAACACTACACAAAGATTTATTTATATATTAAACAAAGGCATTTTGTTTTTCAGTAGTGATGCTAAAATGCTAGTTGATATCACTCAGTTTTTTCAGATTCTCCAGTGAAGACAGTGTTATATCCCTCTGAAGCAGCAGAAATTGTTCTTCCCGTATATACCATGAAACGATGCTATTAATTGAAATTTCAGGGCAAGCCACAGTTTGCATAAAGAGAAAGTTATCATAGCTACCTGTTATTGAGGATAGAACCCATTACATGGTAAAAAAGTAAGAACAAGATAGTTCTAAATAATATTGTTATCAATTTTATCAGGGACTCTTGGTTATAAGGAACAGAAAACCCACTCAAGTGATCTCAGAGGATTTCGTGGGGAATGAAACAAGTCAACTCTCAAGGAAAGCGGAACTGAAAAGCTAGAAACTAAGTTTATTTTCTGTTATCAGTCAGGTTGGACTAAGTTATGCTACAGTAACAGTTTCCTAATCTCAGTGAATTACAATAGTAAGTAATTTCTCACTCTCCTCAATGCCCACTGAGAATCAGCTGTGGCCCTTCTCCACATCTTCCTATTCTTGAACTTCAGCTGAAAGAGCATGTTTGGAACATGCCAACCTTATGATAGAGGGAGGAGAACAAAACAGAACTACTCAATGGTATTCAAGTTTCTATTCAGATGTGGTGTGTCATTTCTGCTTATATTGATTGGCTAGAATAAGTCATGTGGCCATGCCTCCGTGATGCAAGGAATACACTCTTCCCAC